TACGAAATTCGACGAAAGTGTTGGATCCTGAGTAAGACAAATTGTTGTTATAGTGGGTCGCATTGGGCATTTTGCTTGGTGAGTTTTTATTAGACTAAAACATTATACTATAAAAATGTAAGTACATCGTACGGTCATTAGAATAGTAGTTCTGATAAATAAAGACAAGATTGCTTAAAAATATATATATATATATATACTATTTAAAGTTCTTATATTTTATAGTAGTCAACTCTTTTTATTCCAACTACAGTAGGTTGAATTTTTATTTGCAAGATTTTTAAACATTCAGTTCTTATACTAATAAAAATTACAAATGTTTTAAATTTTTTCCAGTTTAGAAAGAGTTGACTATACATATATTTATATTATCACATCTATAACTAATTAAAAAAATTAATGCTTTCTATTTTTTTTTATCAAACTAATTATATAAAATTTTTCTTTTAGTAGAAATACTTGTATTATGCCATGAAACTAATAAAATTTCCTACCTAAACCTGGATACATGGTAAAGATCTTTGAATTTTCTTTAAGAAATAATAAATCATGAACTATATCAGAATCTAATTGATTTCTCTTATTAGTAATTGTATTGCTAGCAGTTGAAAAAACTCTTTTTAAAGGAACTAATATGGCTAGAAAGGCCAAGTATTTTCTTGCTTATTGAGAAAGAAGAGGAAACATTGCTTTACATTCATTCCACCAAGTTAACAAATTAACTTTACGATATTCTTCGTCTATTATATGATATTTAGGAATTTGAGATAAACTTTTATAAAGTGTTATTTCTTTTTCAATTAATGATACATTTTTAGGTTCATTTTGAATAATGTAGTCATCATCATAAAAAGAAGAAAAAAAAAAAGACAAGTTAGTATTTAAAGGTTGAGATTCTTGAATAAAAGTAGATCGGCCTTGTGTATCAAATAAAGAATAAAGGTGAGCAATAGTTTCTCTTTTTTTACTAGCTGTTACATAATTCATTTGCTTGAATCTTGGATCCAAAAAGGCAGCTATTTGACTATAAGATAATGGTTCAAACCACCTTGACAGTATTGATTGGTTAATTTTACTGCAGCAGATTTTTACTGTTTGTAAAGCGATAGTGAGATAAAATTCTCTTAAATGATATGAGAGCTTAATAAGAGTAGGAATCATTATTCCCAAAGTGGGATATTGGCTTCCTCCAATATATCTAGTTACCTGCGTAAAAGAATATAAGAGCTTCGCTAATTCATCTATTGAACTCCATTCTTCTGGTGATAAGAGAAGATCTAAAAGTTTTGTTCTATCTTGTCGTTCTTGTCTATTAATATTTTGCTTTAAGTTATTGGCCAACCTTACAATAGCATTACGAAGAAGAAAAAGATTTTTCAAAAGATTATAAGTTGAACTCTAATGAGTTCTTGTATCACTTGAAAGAGGATTAACTTGGTGCTGCAGATTTAATTCAGCCTGTAATTCGCAAAGGCTTTCACAGTATTTATCTTTACCATTGACATAACTATTTAATATTTTTGCTTTACTTATTAGACTACTAACTTTAGTATCATCAAAAACATCTCTCAATACAAGTTGTATTGTATATGCAGTACAACCTAGATGAGAATTAAAATTTTTACAAAGGTTTAACTCCATTTTATTTAATAGGCAATCCGCCAATCACCTGGATAAAAAATTTTTTTTTTTATATATAAATTTTACTATAAGTGCGGATGCACAGCGCTTCTATCTAAAACTTTTTTTATACTAAGTAAATCACTCTTCGGCTTCTAACAAAAGTTGTAGAGCT